ACATATACATCACTCAGATGTCTACTTCATATCTAGGACCTATTAGACATAACGTTACTTCTATGAAATTCATATCGAAGATTTTCCTACCAGATATTAAATAGACATTTAGTAATCGTATTTAAGATGTATATGGTTTAAAATGTATGTAAATCTACTTTGTGCTTCCTGGAGCCCCCGTTAGCTATACATAATAAAACATGTTTATACATCAACATCACAACTATACTATACCATTTAGCATCTTTACACTTTCAACAATTTGCTCTAAAGTAGTTCAGCAAATGCAAATTTAAAATAAGGAACCGTGTTTTTGGTTTGTAATATGTACATTTGTAAACACCCTCATCCAAATGTTCTGCTATGTTCGATTATGACGCATCCTCTTCTTCTTCTTCTTCTTTATGATGTATCCTCTCGCGTGGCCTCCTGGGATAGAAAAGTATCCATCAACGAGCACTCAAGAAGCTGGGCAGAAGCAGTAGGACATCCGGGAACTTCTCGACTACTCTTTTATGAATACTAAGGATTCGGACATACTTATTCGCTCGGCTACTGCTTTTCGCCTACTATATAGTAGAGAAGTAGGCGGTTTCGGACGCAGCCATTGCATTGCAGTAGTGCCTGCAGTTCGAAAAAAATGTTGTTTGTATGGAAGTCTAGGAGAGCACTCGGCGATTCTCAGTCTGACAGAAATCGCCCAAAAAGGGGCGGTACTACACAAAACGCGACTCGACGCTGATTGGACTATTTAGAGGCAGAACAAACAGTCTAGAACAGTGAAAGCTAGCGTAACACTGTGGTTGAATGTGAAAGAAAAAAATCCCTCCCTTTCGCGCTTTGGTGGTGCGTCGCCCAATCGCCCTAATGGAGAAACCGCCCCTGTTCAAAGTGATCCTTTAATAACATTTAATAAAGCAATCATTCCCATGATGTTAATTTTAATCACAGTTAAAATATTCAGCGTTTTGAACATTCAGAGAACATATCAGGAATAATGTTTAAACAGGAACATTAGCAAAACATTCTTAGAGCATTTATGTTAGCTGGGACTGCAGTATGAACACACACACTGCAGATTCTCCATCATCTCCAACATGAGCCACATGTACAGAATATTAATACAAGTTATGGTTAAATAAATGTTAATCAATGAAATAATGTACATTAAAAAATATCATCACATTGAAAGTCACTCCAAAGCAAATCACGTTCACATTCTTATCGGTTTGTCATAAATCCAGACAGTGCATCCTTAAACAATCATGAAAAATTAACATGCAAATGTTTACAAATGACTTTAATGCAGCGCTGTCGCGCCGGTGGGCGGGGCCTCGCTGTTGCCATCAGAACGGGGCGTGGCCGCCACGGTTACGTCAGCGCGGGCGCGGCGCGTTAAGCGAGTGAAGCGCGCGTGCACGTGAGCGCGTGAGGAAACTTTCACTGAGTGTGTTTGTGATTATTTGTGTGTGTGTGTGTGTGTGTGTGAGTGTGAGTGTGAGTGTGTGAGACAGAGAGAGAGTGTGTGTGTTCACGGAGGATCCTCCAGATCTCTCCTCGTAAGAAGTTTCTCTTCATGGATCTGATCGACAGGTAATCCGCGCTCGTGTCTTGATTACATTAATGACCTGCATGTTTTATGTTCAGAGATTAACTTTAAACTATTCGTTTCCCTGTCATTTGTCGTATTGTTGTGTAAATTTAAAAATACAGTTCAGCTCAATAGTGACTCATAAAGTGTTTCTGACTAGCGAAGAATCTCGTCTCATGGATAAATATATTAATATAAGTGAAAATAAGAGGAGTACTGAGTACTTTATCACTGAATGAGCATGTTTTAACTTTAAGTTTTGACTATCAGGGTTTATTTAGTTTAATTTGGTTTTATATTACTAAACAGAATTCAAAATTCCTACAATCACATGTTGAATTTTGTGAAATCTGACCAATCATAATTCCTCCAATTGCAGGTTGATGTTTTATTTTAGTTTCATATGATTAATCAGATTTCACACACACACACACACACACACACTCTCTCTCACACACACACACACAAACACACACTTAAAAAAAAAAACTAAATTCCTACAAGTGCAAATTTATGTTTTATTTTGTTTGTTAGCTATATGATGTGTCAGATTTCACGAATGTCATAACTCCTACAGTTACAGCTTGGCCTCAGTCCTGAGTGTTTTTAACGCTGTTTGTGTTTCAGAGGCGTGTGAGCGTTTCACGTTACTGGTCTTGATGGCCGCTGTTACCGTCGCTCTGCTGCTCTTCTTCTTCGCTCGATCCCCTTCACTCTCCACCGTCGTCTCGCGCGATCATGACCCGCTCTCCAGCGCCGCGCGCTGCCTGCCTGACATCATCATCATCGGCGTGAGGAAGGGCGGCACGCGCGCTCTCATCGAGATGCTGAGTCTCCACAGCGGCGTCGCCGCGGCTCAGAGCGAGGTGCACTTCTTCGACTGGGACAGTCACTACCAGCGCGGCGCGG